AAAAAAAAAAAAAAAAAAAAAAAAAAAAAAAAAAAAAAAAAAATCAGCAACTTCAGATTCTCTTTCCTCAAAAAAAGGTCACTCTTCCTGACAGACATTAGTTGAAATGACTAAACAGAGAGCATAAATTATATTCTGTATAGTGTAAAAAGAACAGTACAAGTCATAATTAAACTGTAGAGAAGCTGACTTACTTGCTGCCGAATCCTTGGATTCCATCTAATGTAATAATTGACCCAAAGTTCCAAGTGACGCATACTGGCTACTGGATAGAGTGCTCGATTCAGTTCTTTAGTATAAAAAGGATTGGTGTACTTTGCTTTTTCACTATTTATCAGTGACCACAATGACAATGTTCTCCCAGTCACTTTCTGCAAAGAAAATGAAATGGTAAAGATTTCGAGTATTTGTACAGTATAAGAGTGCACGCACTATGGTAACTCCAGTTATACTTTTCATATAGCATGGTTCTTTTCTAACTAAAAGTATCACATGTATAATCACTATATGAAGAATATTCCACAAGCAGTGACAAACTCACAAAGTACCCTGAAGTCTGAATATTGTCATTTAGATACACAAAAACAAGCTTGCTGTCTTGCAACTGTTCCAATAACAGTGCCATTTTTGCTACATTGACTATACACAACTTAATTTTTTTTAAATTAAGATCATATATTCCTCCTGCCACAGTCAATCATCAGTTTTACCTACCTCTTTTTCTCTAACAGATTCACAGTTGTACAAGAAAGTACCAAATCGGCAGCTATACAAATGGTCCAGAATTGTAATCAAGAATTGTTCATTGAATTCAAAAGCTGTTGGAAACTAGGCACAAAAAAGTTATTGTTAGAGATTTGTTTCTGTGTGCGCGCACACATAGAAACAGTCTGATTGAACAGCTAGTTTAAAAGAAGTCATTTAGGAAACCTGTTATTAAGTTTACCTAAAAACTAGGTTTCCTGCCACAAAACAACTACAAACATGATGGATTAAATGCTCAGACAACAGGTAAGATGTCAACACTCCTACATTCTTATCAATGAATACATTAGCACATGTCCTGTCAGACCAACAATGGTGCTTTACAGTTTCTAAGGTCAGAGATATAAAGCTGGTTCTGCCACTCCAAAGATGGATGAAGTCTCATCTTGCCTAACAAGAGGCTGGTTTCCTCGTTAATCAGGAACTTTTTCACTTTTGTCTCAAAATGATTAAGACTAAACTACATGCAGGAATTAGGAGTTGATAAAGGTATGGGGCCACTGCAATTAAGCAGAAAGCTGTTGACTTTTCTGTGACAGATTTAGCTTAATATTGGAAAAGGATTTGTTTATCCAAACAAAATGCAAGGTGGGGCTTATAGTGGGCAAAAGGAAACTGCAGTACTTAGTTGGCTGCACAGTATTATTACACTAAGTGAACTTGTACATTTCTTGAGGTATCTCAAGTGGAGACAATAAGTTTCTATAAACAGAGTAAGCAGTGAAAGGGTATAGCTGGAAGACTGCGATCCACAAGATAAGATTCAACAGAAATTCAAGGCAAAAGTTCTGTCTCCACAATGTTAGCTAAACTTTTATGAATAATTAGCTCTCTGGCAGAAACACAATTCTTCGAAGTCAGTGCAATACAGTTTTTCAGTAACGATACCATGAAAGATTGCTAACTCAACTACATCAAGATTAGACAACCAAAATTATTACATTTAAACTAGTAATATAACAGTCATAGGCCTAGTGAACTAGTGACCCTGCTTTGCGCTGACACATAGGGGAACCAATATTTGATTTTCAGTTCTTGACTCTCATTTTTGGACCTACATGGGCTAGGTATGCTATAAAGATAATATGCATAGTTTTGTTACTTAATACGAACAGTTTGTTAGCTCATGAGGTAAAACTGAGTAGCCCCAAGCATTTTTTTCAAGCTTCAATAGGAAGGACAGGAGCAATGTCACAGTATCTTCAGGGCAAGGTTTTTGAATAGGATTAAAAAAAGGGGGAAGGAGAAAATCTCAGTGCTCTGAAAACACGGGAAGGGACTGTGAAATAACCTATAGCAGTTTGATAGACCTAGTTTGATACTCAAAGACTTAAAGTTGTTTTGTGATTACATGAGGGAATTGTGTTTCCAGGAACAGTTTTTGGAATGATGAAATAAAAACAAAATTAACCATAATACATTAATTCTAGTTCCTGTAACTACATGCAACAGTATTACGCTATTACAAACATTCATAAAAGCATCTATTTAAGTTATGTCATAGTACAGTCCTTTAGACATGAAATATTGGTTAATGAGCAAAAGGACTGGACATAAAGCCAGCATATTTTCTACTCAGAAATAGTGAGACTTCCAGCTTGGGAGGGAGGAGAGGGTTAACACACACACAAAAAAGGTAAGTAAATATGCTACTTTCTACTACCTGGTCAGAGTAGCAAACTTATGTATACAGAGGTGGTTTGTTTGTTTTTGTTGTGGTTTTTGGGGGGGAGAGGCTTTTTTTTTTTTTTTTTTTTTTTTTGAGGATTCAGACTCTTAATTCAAGGATAATTTTAAAATATTGTTATTTGCTGGATAACACCATCTTTTGGATATGGCTAGAGCTTACCTGCTTAGACATTTGCCACACACAATCAACGAACTGGAGAAAGATAGGTGATCTATCAGCATCAGCATGGTTTTTATCACCATGGCCTATTCTCTGAAATGAAACAAAGCAAGTTGAACATTACTCACAACTGGTTTTGGTATATATCTGATGTCTATTTTGGTGTGAGACATGCTTCATAAATGTCAAAAGATGCATGAAAAACACATTTGATCTACAATATTACAATGAGGGGGTTAATACTCTATTGTCCACCTCCTGACTTTAGCGATATAATTTTACATATTAACATTTTAGAACACTTAAAGATTTGAAAGATTCTGAAGTGCAAATAACTTCTGCTGGAATCAATGGGAGTTTCTTGATTAAGGGTTGCAAGATTCAGCATTGAAATCAACCCTCCAAAGCACGGGCATCTTCAGCACCCGTAATCCTGTACATAAAGCACTATGCAAAATATGACTCAGGTGGCAAGAACTCCATCTACTTGCACTAGTTTTTTATCTTCATTTAAGTTTGAAACAATACGACATCTTTTCTCTCTAATACTTACCCAGCTCAATCATTTACACTAAATTCATGCTACTGTTGCTGTTTCAAGTCCCGAGTTTCTTTTGAACATGCTGTAAATGTATGGAATCAATTTCTACCAACATTTCCTCAGAGATGGAAATCAAGTTTATGCTCCTTTGTCCTTCCCCTTCATGTTCTCTCAGAGAGATAAGTAGCAGCTGCTGTATAGTTTGTCATATTCAAGAATCTTCCTTTCCCAAAATCTAGCAGTATATTTTTTTCTAACTTTCTAAAGATCTAAGCTGAAGCAATGTTGGTCCACTGTCAGATGATCCCTCAAAAAAGGCAATTCACTTGTGCTACTGTTTTACTACAACTGATGAACTAAAACATCTACAGAATACCTCTAGCCTTGCCGATAAGAGATTCTAAAGAATGTAACTTCATGCACAGGGTAACTTTGGTAACAGAGTTTGTGCTGCCAGCAGGATGTGAATACAGCTAGCAGAAGCCAGCAGTATCCCCAATAAGAGGATGGGTTTACCTGAAAGTCTGCCTTTGTGGGGAAAGCTAGGTCCACTTTGTAGGGACTGATGAAGGTGTGATGTGAAGTGAAGAGTAGGTAGGGGCCCTGCAGATATCAGAGGAAGTGGCCTCCTCTCTCTCTGCTTAAGTAGCAGAAAAAGACTCTAGCAGAGCATCTTTTCACTGTGAGAGAAGGGGGCTTACCCTGCTGTCAATACAGGATTTCAGCCAGCCACTAATGGTGGCCTTAGAGGTTGGCAATCCTTGCACTGGACCATGAAAACAGTCTGACTTTTTGAATATCAGTCCTGTGCAACTAAAAGCTGGGTAGCTCGTCCCTTTACAGCCTGAGAGTAGTATGTCTGTTTGAAAGGAGAGGAAGAGTTTAGGTAAAAGTTGGAGAAAACCATGTGGAGGTATATGATCACTCTGGAAAAGTACTCCTGAGGCAAAAGAAAAACTATCAATTTGTCTGAAAAGAAATGGAAGGTATTGGTAGCAAAGATTAATAACGAAGGAGCTTAGTTCTTCAAAACTACAAGCTGGGGAAAGGACAACTAAAAGCCCAATTCTGATTAAATCATGAGGTGCAACACATAAGGGCTTAAAGAGACAATGACACAAACTTGGGAAGATAAAAGACAGGTCTTACTGAGAGAGAATGGATCTGAAGATGAGCCTCATGTGGGAAAAGCCCTTGAAAAGTTTGTAAGTATAGAGGTGGAGCCTTAGGGAGTCCCTCTCACCTCAAAAGACTGTAGAAGGAGAGAGCTGGACTTGGTGTTATGGCATAGCAGTACTTAAGTCCTATGTTGAAACCTGTTCTAACAAATTCTAGGACATGCTGGAAGAAGGTGGAACTAACTCTCTCAGCACATCACCTAGAAAAGGTTGTCCAGATTCTTCCATCAGTGTGTCTCATTATGATCAGTCAGAGAAAAGCCAAGAAAAACTGCTGGAGTGAGAAAGCTGAATTTATGTTCCATGTTTCCAGTATTCTTTGCTCCGTCCTGGAGGCATATGGAAAGCTTTCACTATCCTCCTTACTGATGCCTGCTAAATGGCACCATAACATTAGCTGTTCTGCATTTCCAGCAGGATGCAAAAAGGGAAGACAAAGAAAATGAATTTTACAAAAATGAAATAAATGCTATGGACTAGCTTCAAGTCTAGGCAAGACTGATCATTCTGCTCAAATTTATTTTTCTTCATCACTTTAGACAGACTGAGTAAAGAGCAGATCAAAACTTGACATGCTGATCAACTGAAAAGTTGAACACATTTATTAGAACTTTCATAGCATGCAAGTTTTAATACAAGCATCTAAAAACCTTCCTTGTTTTAGAATTTACAATGTACATAAAAAACGTTAAAACAGTTCTTTTCAATAATTTTCTCTAATTCTTACCGATGCAAATTTGTGTCCAAAGCTTATCCACTCCTTTTGTACCAGAACTTCAAAACCCACAATTGTTCTGTAGTAGCTGTCTAACATCAACATGGCTAGAGAAGTTAATTGTGCTGTTCGGTCCCAACCATCACTACAGTGTACCAACACTGAGCTCTTCCCTGAAGACACCTTGTCTGCCACTTGGATAGCTCCTGTCAAGACAAGCTGACAACAAGGTACGGATATCAGACAATTCAGAAGGTTAGTGTTATCATTCCAGCAAAAATGATTGATTTCTTACAGTTTTAATTAAAAGACTTGGGGAAGAACATCTGTATGTAACTTAAATTGATCAGATTTTTCTGGGAGTTCAACAAGCAATTTGCAATTTCTACTATAAAAAAAAATGAAGACCCAAACTATACAAGATAGGGTTTACTAAGAAAAAGAGAACCAAACTTATCTCACAGCAACTTCTCAAAAATGGGATAGAAAATAGTGTCTTTACCATACTGAGAAACATAAAAGCTTTTTAAAAATAGGATTACCACAAGAAGTACCTGTGTTAAAAATTACATTCCATTTAGTTCCTTTTGAGTTAAAGATTTGAGACAGATGCTATTGCTAAAAATAAAGCCTGTTTTATATCCTTTTCTCGTGTTTATTTTTGCAACCATTCACTTAAAATGGAAATCCTAAGTAAACAGTAGTTATTACAGCAGGACATACATTATAAAAATGCAGAAATGTTAGGGGTACAAGCCAAAAAGCCAACTGACAAAATATACTGCTAAAAACATTTTTATGACCATTAATGCATACTTTAAAATATTTTATTTCAATTACAAAGTGGAGCAACACAGCTTGTTTGCAAAGAAAATGAAGTTCAAGAATTCATGTAATAAACAAACATTGCTAAACTAAAACTTGTACGTTTTGTAAATTGCAGTTTACTTAAACATGCTGTAAAATAGTTTAATTTTCTGTGTTCATGTGTTATTGCAACTCAAGAATCTTTATTTTACAGCACTCATTTATTAATTTAATCTTAATTTTAACACTGTCTTGTACTCTCAATTATTAACTACCTTTTCTCCCCCCAAAAGCAAGGTATGTCAATATTTAAAATGATAAATGTCTCTTACTGTTGATAAATAGGGATATTAGCATGATATATTCTTAAGACTAGTACAATCTAGACAGAGCTATTGGATATTAACACATCTATACCTGAATAATTTTACAGCCTGACTAACCAAAAGGTAACCCACTTTGTGTAGAGTAGATAAATGCTGCCTCTTATTTAAAAGAATTCTTTTGGAAAATAGCATCTGTAATAAAGAGAGCAAGTCTGATATTTGCAGAAGTCCTACCCTACCAGCCAACTCTTTATAGTTTCCAACAAGCAAAACAGTAAGACATTTTCAAGGTCACCCAATTCCAGAAGAGCAATAACTAAGATTCTTTAGTAATCACACAAATTACAAAGCAAATTAACGTAGGTTGTTTTTTTTTTTTTTTAAAATAAAAGGCATGTAAGGTAAGTGAAAATCCAGTCCCTATAGAATATTATTTTGTGCTAGAAACTCACCTTGATATGTTCTAACCAGTGAGTTGACTCCAAACTAGATAGCCAGTGAGATTCTTCTACATTAGGATAAACAATGTCCTTCAACTTTTTTAAAGATTCCCTCATGACATGAATATTATGAATATCTAGGAAGAAGAGTTCTGCATTGGGATATGCATCATCGCCTTCATATCCTCCCCCAGTGGCCTAAAAAACAAAAACAGATTTGAAATCTACTTTTAGTTGTCATTTAAACTCTGCTGAAATGCTTTAATAAAGATGGAAGGGATTAAACTTTCTTTAGGACACCCTGCCACATTACCAAGTCAATTATTTATGAGGAAGTCCACCTATATAGCCCAACTATATTAGGCAAGCCCTATTTTTATATTATATTTAGTAATTATTAAATATATTTTTAAAAAGCTTTATTTCACCTCAATACAAATTTCATCATGAAGAAAATAGTAGAAAATGCAAATCCAAGGTAGCTTGCTTTGTGCCTGGGTATGCCCAATAAATTTTTTTGGTAAAAGGTCTGACAAAGTTCAAATCTGTCCACCAATCTAGTTCTCTTTCTGGAACCCTCATGAATTGCTGCTGCTGTTGCTGCCGCCTTGTCTTAGATAAACATATCAGGCCATGAAGTTAGAGAATGATTTTGGCAACTCTTATAGGGTCCTTTGTAAGGGCTTGATCCAGGTGTCAAATCTGAAGAGCATCACTTTCCTTACATTACATTCAGAAGCATGGGTCTCTCCCAACACAACTTGCAGACTGGATGTATCTTGTTTCTATCTCTGTTGATTTTCATTCTTGCAACATGCCCTGTCCTCTAGCTCATGATAGTGGATGTTACTTTCCAAGATGCTCTGATATTGATCAGAGGATCTTGTAACTTCAGCTATTTATTTCAGCTAATATTTTCCTTAATAGGGCGTCAATATACTTGACCCTTCTCATTCCTACCTGAATTTCCCATCTTCCAACTTTGGCAAGATTATCAGCTACCACACTCCTGCATATACAAACATGTGATGAAATCCATGGAAAAGTCAATTTATTGCTTTGCTTTTTGATCCTTCTTATGAACTGAATTGATGAAAGTGTTCTGGTTTCTTTGAAAGAAACCGAGGATTGCTGCCTGCAAGTCAACAAACATCACAACATCCGCCTCTATTTCTGCTCTGCACTT